AGTTACACTATGATTAGAGTTTGCATTGCAGGACTTATTTCTCTAATTAGACCTGAAAATTTGTTTCAGATAAGTAAATTTTTCTGCAGCAGCCAGAATCAGATCAGCAGCAGGTTTTGTTGTATTTATCCATTTAAATTGAGCAATCCACTTCTTTCTTTGTTTTATACCTTTTAAAATTTATTATTATAACTTTAAATGGATTAGAGATAAAGTGGTTTATGGTCTACCTCAGTGTATCTGCCTATACTAGGGCTCAGAGTAATGACCTCTTCAATTATTTATATTTGTGCCAAAATAAATGTTAAGGAAATAAACATTAGGATGCCCAAAGATCTCTAAATTGTGTGCATGTGAGCATGGGGAGAAGATGGTTCATTAAGCTTGAGTTTTGGGTTATTGTTGTTTTAAATAATGTTATTTTTATCATTTTTCCTATTGGCTGCCTCCTAACATGGTTCCTATTTTACAGATAGATGAGAAGCAAGGAAATTCTTTTCTTTGTTACTATTGTGGATTTCAGCCCTTCAAATTCACCTTTGATAAAGAAGAAAATCAATATGTGAATTACAGTGCATATTCACTATGGGTCTAATATCTCACAATATCTGCAGTTATAGTGTTCAGTGGGAAATGTTGCAACACCAGAAAATTCCTATTTCTTTAGTGGAAATTGAGATGACACAATTTGGTCTGAGGATGAGAAAGAAAATTCAAGGGCATTTTTAAAAATTTCCATCTGATGCTTCAAGCTTGAATTCTTTTTTTAACTTTATTTTAATTGTTAACAATATTACAGATGTCCCCATCCCCCGCCTCCTTTGCCCACCTCCACCAAGCCCCCAGCCCCTCCCCTGTGGCCATCACTATACTGTTGTCTGTGCCTATGGGCTATGCATATATGTTCTTTGGCAAATACCTTCACCTCCTTTCATCCAATCCCTCCCCTCCCCTCTGACAGCTATCAGTCTGTTCCATGTATCCATGCCTCTGTTTCTATTTTGTTTGCCAGTTTAGTTTGTTCATTAGATGTCACATATAAGTGAGATCATATGGTATTTGTCTTTCTCTAACTGGCTTATTTCACTTAGCATAATAATTTCCGGGTCCATCCATGCTGTCTCAAAAGGTAAGATTTCTTCTTTTTTACAACCATGTAGTATTCCATTGTATAATAGCTTTTTTATCCACTGACCTACTGATGGATACTTGGGCTATATCCAGATCTTGGATATCCTATATAATAAAAGCCCAGCGACCATAACAGTAGAATGACCAGAACGACGGCTTGACCAGTCACTATGAGGTGCACTGACCACCTCTTAGTCCCTTTGCCCGGCCAACAGGTTCCCATCTCCTGATGGCAAACGGGGACCCGGGGGTGGGTGGTGGGGTATGCAGGCAGAACCAGGCCAAGGCCCCCGCCCTCCCAGTCACCCCACACACAGAGGACGACATGGGCGTGGGGCCATGAGTGGGCAGGACCGGCTGACCTCTCGGTCCCTCCCCACTGGCTGTCAGGCTCCGATCACCCGATGGCAAACTGGGAACCCGGGTGGGTGGCGATCGGGGGCGGGGATGGCTGCCAGCAGCCAGGGAAGATGGCTGTGATCACAGGCTAGGCCTAGGGACTGTACCCACTCACGAATTTTGTGCACCAGGCCTCTAGTTGTAATAATGATACTATGAACACAGAGGTGCATTGTGATTCTTAGAAGTGGGATTGCTGAATCAAAAGGCAGTTCCATTTTTAACTTTTTGAGGAAATAACATACTGCTTCTGACAGTAGCTGCACCAGTCTGCATTCCAACCAATAGTGCACTAGGATTTCCTTTACTCCACATCTTCACCAACACTGTTGTTTGTTGACAGCTGTGAGGTGATACTTCATTGTGGTTTTAATTTACATTGCTCTGATGATTAGTGACATTGAGCATTTTATCATATGGCTATTGGCTATTTGTATGTCCTCTTTGGAGAGATGTCTATTAAGGTCCTTTGCCCATTTTCAAATTGGATTGTTTGTCTTCTTGTTGTTGAGTTGTACAAGTTCTTTATATATTTTGGAAATGGCCCTTTATCAGAGGTAGCACTGGCAAATATTCTCCCATACAGTGGGTTCCATTTTCACTTTGATGATGGTTTCTTTTGCTGTACAGAAGCTTTTTAATTTTATGTAGTCCGATTTGTTTATTTTTTTCTTTGTTTCCCTTGCTTTTGAAGATATATCAGCAAAAGTATTGCTATGAGAGGTGTGTGAGGTTTTACTGTCTGTTTTCTTAGGATTTTTATGATTTTGTGACTTACATTTAAGTCTTTTATTCATTTTTATTTTATTCTTTTTTTAAATTGTTTTATTGCTTAAACTATTACAAAAAGTATTACATATGTCTCCTTTTTTTTCCCGCCCTTGACAATCCCCTGGCCTCCCCTACCCCCAGTGTCTTATGTCCATTTGTTATGCTTATATGCATGCATACAAGTCCTTCGGTTGATCTCTTACCCCCCTCCCTCCTGCCCCCCAACCCTCCCTGGCCTTCCCACTGCAGTTTGACAATCTGTTTGAGGCAGCTCTGCCTCTGTATCTATTATTGTTTATAAGTTTATAATGGTCTTTATTATCCATGAATGAGTGAGATCATGTGGTATCTTTCCTTCATTGACTGGCTTATTTCACTTAGCATAATGCTCTCCAGTTCCATCCATGCCGTTGCAAATGGTAAGAGTTCCTTCTTTTATTTTATTCTTTTGTATGGTGTGAGTTGGTGGTCTACTTTCATTTTTTGCATGTACCTGTCCAATTTTCCTAACACCATTTATTGAAGAGACTGTCTTTATTCCACTATAAGCTCTTGTCTCCTTTGTCAAATATTAATTGACCTAAAGGTGTTGGTTGATTTCTGGGATCTTTGTTGGGTTCTATTGATCTATATGTCTTTTCTTATGTCAGTAACAGTCTGATTTTATTACAATGGCATTGTAGTATATTTTGATATCAGGTATTGTGATATTTTTAACTTTGTTCTTCTTTCTCAAGATTGCTTGAGGCTATTCAGGATCTTGTTTGGTTCCATATAAATTTTTGGAACATTTGTTCTAGATTTGTGAGATATGCCATTGGTGTTTTAATAGGAATTGTGTTGAATCCATAGATTGCTTTGGGTAGCATGGACATTTTAATGATATTAATTATTCTAATCCATGAACATGGTATATGCTCCCACTTATCGTATCTTCCTCTCTTTCTTTTTTCAATGTCATATAGTTTTATGAGAACAGGTCTTTTACCTTCTTGGTCAAATTTACTCCTAGTTAACCTCATCTTCTTTTGGTGTTGCAATAGTAAATGAGATTATTTTCTTAGTTTCTCTTTTTGATAGTTTATTATTGTTGTATAGAAATACCACTGATTTCTAAATATTAATTTTGTATCTTGCTACATTGCTAAATTCATTTATTAGATCTAGTTGCTTCTTGGAGTCTTTAAGGTTTTCTATGTATAATATCATGCCATCTGCAAATAATGACAGTTTTACTTCTTCCTTCCATTTTGGGTATCTTTTATTTCTTCTTCTTTTCTGATCACTGTGACTAGGACTTCCAGTACTCAGTTGACATGCTTGAATTTTTAACCATTGTGTTTCTAGTCTCTGCTTGATAATCTCTAATAACATGAGTGCCTGGCAACCTTTCCATGTTCAGAGGCCTTTAACTATCAAAGTGTGTTTGTGATGTGTGTGTGTGTGTGTGTGTGTGTGTGTGTGTGTGTGTGTGTGTATGTAGGGGGAAAGAGAGAGAGAGAGAGAGAGAGAGAGAGAGAGAGAGAGAGAGAGAGAGAAACTAGTATCCAAGTCACTGTATATTTTGGTACCTCTAGAGACCCCATAATTAATACTTACGTTTGCCTTTCTAGTCTCTTTATCTAACAATCTGCTAGACATGCTAGACATAGACACAAATTCATCATTCCTTTTATTTCAAACATTCTGTATTTGCCCATTACTTGTAAGAAAAAGCCCAAACTTCTAATTACAATATACAAGCCCTTTCAAAATCAGGTCTAATCTTGATTTCAACCTTATAAATAGCCAGTCTCCCCACACAAGCAATATATACTCCAGCCACACTGGTCTCTACTATTTCCCCCAAACACTTGTACTATTTGTTTATGCCGTTTTCACTCTTCTCTGCTTAGTGAAACCCTCACCATTCTTCAAGATCCAGATCAAATGCTACCATAAAGCCTTTCCTGACCCCACCTATGCAGAGTGATTGTTGTCTTTTTATTAATACCTCTGTTGTAATATTTATCAGATTGACATTTTAACTGCATAGGAGTATTAATTTATCCTCTACCAGACAGGGTTAAGACCCAGAAGAAAGGGCTTGCACTAGCTGGTTTGGCTCAGTGGATAGAGTGTCGGCCTGCGAACTGAAGGGTCCTGGGTTTGATTCCAGTCAAGGGCACAAGCCCAGGTTGTGGGCTCAATCCCTAGTAGGGGGGTGGTAGGAGGCAGCCAATCAATGATTATCTTTCATCATTGATTTTTCTATCTTCTTTTCCCTCTCCCTTCCTCTCTGAAATCAATAAAAATATATTTTAAAAAAGAAAAGGTTTAACATGGAATCTCTATTGAATGAATGAATGAATGAATGAATGAATTGTGAATATATCTGAATAATTCAATGAAAGGTTCTAGGTATGAGTACTGAAGCTTACATTTATGCAGAGTCCAATCTAAGGATATACTAGGCCTGTCCTGCAAGGTGACTGGGGAGAAAACAAGATATAAAACTTTAGTTTAGCAAAGATTTGGAGTGATGAGTCATTCATTCAACCAGTGCTAAACTGAGCATTTGCCTTCAAGGAGTTTAGAATCTCTGACCATGAAGAATGGACATCTTTATTTTCTTAGCTTGAAGGTTTTCTAACAGAGTAGCTGTGCTGTGTGTTTTTGATCACTTATAATAAATCCAAGTTTCCCTTTCCTCCCAATAGCTCGGAAGCTGAAGAAACTTGGTAATCTGAAACTGCAGGAGGAAGGGGAGGCTTCCAGCGCCACCAGCCCAACTGAGGAGCCAACCCAGAAGCTGGCGGTGTCACACATTGAAGGCTATGAGTGTCAGCCTATCTTTCTGAATGTCCTGGAAGCCATTGAACCAGGCGTGGTGTGTGCTGGACATGACAACAATCAGCCTGACTCCTTTGCAGCCTTGCTCTCTAGCCTCAATGAACTGGGTGAAAGACAGCTTGTACATGTGGTCAAGTGGGCCAAGGCCTTGCCTGGTAAGGAAAAGGAAAGTGGAGGCATGGGATTAAAGTGATAATATTTAGTGTATGCTCCTATGGGCAAGGCAAGTACCATGTCCTGTCCATTCCTGCCCATTAACTCATGCACTTCTCACCATTACCTTGCGGGGGTAGAAAATGGTATAATCCCCACTTTAAAAATAAGGAAACGCCCTGGTCAGGTGGTCCAGTTGGTTGAAGCATCATCCCACCAAAAGGTTGCGGGTTTGGCTACTATTCCAGGCACATACCTAGGTTATGGGTTTGATCTCCATTCAGGGCTTATACGAGAGGCAACCAATTAATGTTTCTCCATCACATAGATATTTCTCTTTTTCTAAAAATCAATGAAAAATATATCCTACACTGAGGATTTAAAAAAAGAAAGGAAACTCAGAAACCAAAGAGTAGAGCAGCATTATAGAGTGTCCCATATACCTCACATCAGCACACAGCAATCATGTTTAATCTACAGACACAGTGTGAAATTTTCCTCATAATCACAGATTATATAGACATAACATTTATGTGCCTTAAGATGCATACACATGTTTACCCCAAAGATAATTTTGAGTCTGACTGGTATTATGTCTTCAATATTAACTTTAGGAACCATACCATGCACTTATAATATAGTATGGTAGAAAGAACATGGGGTTGGGAGTCAGAACATTTAGGTTCTAGTCTTAGTTCTGCTTGTAAATCATTGTGTGGTCCTTTCCCTTTATGGGTCTCAGTTTCTTTACCTGTATAATGTATGAAGAGTATTTTGGACTGAATTAATGTTTTTCAAACTTTCCTTTAAGGAACTTTAGTGCTTTTTAAAAACCTTAGGAATCATAGTGGGAGGAAATATTCAATGAATTCAGTGATAGTGAAAGAAATACAATTTTTTTTGTCTTAACTTCTTGGATACCTCCAGTGATGGGGAAATCACTTCCTCCTTAAGTCATCTGTTATTTGAACAGGACTGTTTATGAAAATATTAGAGATCCTCTATCTAAGCATTCACAAATTTTCCTTTAGCAGCCAAACTTTGTATTTCTCAAAACAACATACACAGATACTACTAGAGCTGGTTGATTTAAAACCAGTGCCTCTCCCTCACTACCCCCAGAGAAGCCTCAAGTTACTCTTGCAGAATCTTAGGACTCCAGGGAACACAGTTTGGAAACCAGTGAAAAATGAGCTCTGCCAGGATTCTCCTAGTCCTAAAATTCTGGGGTTCAAAGATTGTTTTGAAACATCAACAACCAATTTAATTCTTATGGAGTCAAAGATCAGCATGCCTTCTAATAACTGCTATTGAGAGGAAAATGTATAGAGAACAGAGAAATTTCATATGTATTACCTGATTTGGTCCTCATAAAATAGGGGTTTCCCCCTGACATTTTATAGATAAAATATACAGAAGCTCTGAGAAATGATATACTTCACTTCAGAATGTAGCAGGGCTAGAACTTGAGAGCCTAAGTCCCCTCCTGATTCCAGATTCCTTCCTCATCCCACTCCACCCATAATCTGTAGTGTTCGTGTAGTTCTGTAGCCCTGGGCTTCACAGTAAGAGGCCAAGGCCTTATTCAAGGCCACTTGGGTCATAATGTACACTAGCTGCTTTTGAAGACATTGCATGTTAGTTGCCAAACCCCAATTTTGTCTTTCCAACTCACAAGGCCCAGTCTCAGAAACCAGACCATCCCCAACACCTTCCCAGCTTGGGAAGCTGGAAGCTGAGGTTTACTAGCCAATAAGATCACTGGGAAGAAGGCCCAAGGTCTCCGGCTGTGTATACACTGTGCCAAAACAGAGGGTTCACACAGGGAGGAAAAAATACAAAAACTAAAAAGAGAAGGTTGTTTTAATTCTTATCACTTATTCAGCTGGATGTCTTGATATCATTTGTGTAACAGATTCAGTTTAATCTTTCCAAGCAGTTGCCAAGAACCTAAAAGTCCCATTTTATTGAATATAGAACCTTGTCCTATATATGATTCCATTTACTCCTCACAGAAATACTATGAATCATAAAGACTATTATTTCCATTTCAAATGACAAGGCTCAGAAAGGTTAACTAATTTGTTCCATTTTGGTTACTTAACAAATGGACCCAGAACTTAGACTCATACCCTCTGATTTCTAATTTGATGGTCTTAACAATAACCTATTGCAAATCATTTTGGCAGAATTTGTATGACTAGGAGTCACTGGCTTTCCTTAGTCCAACCCTCAGGATGGGGAGTCCTCTCATAATATTAACAAGTCTACAAGATAGTATCATTTCACCATCTACTTCAAGCAAGGAAATGACCTCTGATCCTAAGTCATTTAAAATAATAGTTTTTAAAAAGCCAATTACCATGTTCACAAGACCTGTTGTTTATATTATGAATAATCACCTAGAAGTTCAAGTTATTTGTTCATTCAACAGATTGAGTTCCTGTCTTGTGCAAGGCACTATACTAGGCACCTACTCAGAAAAATTTTGTTTTAAACTTTTTTGTGATGGTGATGATATATGTAAATTGCCTAGCAAGGTACCTAGTACATTAATAAGTGATAACTATTAATTGAGGGTGGGTGAGTAGACAATGTGTATACAGTATATTTGTAATCAGGTGTACCTGGTTTGGAATCTTAGCTATACACTAGTTAGTTGTTTGACCATGAGCAAATCACATGTGCTTCTGTTTCCTCATTTGTGGAGGTGGTACAACAATCTCTACCTTACAAATTGTTATCAACATAGAAACTGTATATAAAGTGCACCTAGTACAGTAGCTGAAACATAATAGATGCTCAGTAACTAGTAGGTCATTACAGTGAGACTTGAGTGCTCTGCCACTGCTTTCACTCATATATCAATTTAAGTTGCCACATGCATGGGTCCCAATGATGAATTGTTTTCTTTGAAGATGTTGACTGTCTGGTGCACTAGAGCAGCATAGATTTCTTATCTGGACCTTCTTTGGCCATGTGCTCCCTGATAAGACATGATACTACAGGTTTCCACTGCAGATTGCTAAGAAATGATGTTGATTGGATTCTAGTGAGAAAACAGAATCTCAAATAAATTGCCTTTACATTTAAACCTATTTGGTGTGTTTCAAAACCTGAAAATGACTCCTGTCTATTTCTCCTGAACAGCCTAACACAGTGCCAAACAAGTGTTTGAGTGAGTGTGTGCTGAAGGAAACCTGTAGGCTGGAGCTACTGTTTCCTCAAGTCATTCATTCCTTGATAGCTATGCTCTCTGAGCAGGTTTCTTCAAAGGCTGGACATTAGAGAATAGTGTTAGGTATTGTAATCAGATTAGACCTATAGAAAAATTAGCCAACTTTGTTGCTGATGTATAGACAGTAAATAGGCTTGAGTGCTAAGCTGCTCTCAGTAAGGACCATAAATTAGTGTTACAGCCAAACTAAATTTTTCTTTTTGCTCCTCGTTGTTAGTTCTCTGCTATCTCAAGGATGGGAAAAGAAGCCATCAGTATAGACAGCTCCCTTGGTACTTGTACAGTTTAAACCTCATCACCCCTATGCACCCTAACATTCACATACTCACCAGCCAAGGCTTTACTTGCTTTCCATTGCCTCACATCTCAGAGGTTCAGGGTTCAAGTTTCCAGGTCCCCTCTCCAAGAGATCCTTAGATGCTCCATGCTTGGCCCCTGCATTTATCTCCTACTAGGAAGAGTCAGTACCAGGCATTCTATCCTGGAGCTTCAGTGAGGAAATACTCTGGAGTCTGTGGCTCCAGCTAGTCTGTAAAGATGGGAGGCACGGGCCTTGGAGCTAAGATTGCAGCCAAGGATGGTGATATGAGGGACTCTAGAATCCCTGATGTCTGATAGGCTTAGGACATAAAAGAAAGGGGAAATGGGGTGTGTGGGTGGGCAAGGATCAACCAAGCCTTACAATGTGTTTAGATATTGTAGACTTTAGGCTGGAGTCTATGGCTAGTAAAAGCTCATGACCTCAGTATTTCCTGAGCTTGTCCTTAAGCAGTAGAGTGGAAAATACACTGGACAAGAGAATTAGAACACCTGCACTAGTACCAGTTCTGCCATATATAGGCTGTAAGACCTTGGGGAAATCAGTTAACCTCTCTGGCCCTTAGGTTCCTTGTTGTCAAGATAAGTATCACATCACCTACTTGCTAGGGTTATTATGAGGTACAATGAAGTCATCAATAAGAAAGTTAGAAGCATTATCTAAATTCATGGAGCATTTCTAATGAGGTATAGCAAGACAAAATTTCAAATAATTCTGGAACTGTTGGGGAGAAGAGAAATGAAATGCTGGTAGGGGATGAGCTCTGAGGTTATGGTTTAAGCATCCCTCTGTTTAGAACCCTCCATGAGAACATAGCTATATCTATGTGGTAGAGGTAGCATCGGGGAAACTTTGTTCTCTGAGCTTAAGGGAGGTAATCTGGAGTTCATCCCACTTTATAAAATTAAAATAAATTGAGGGTCTTTAGTCCATTTAATTAATATTTTTTAAATGCCTACTCAAATATCTGAATTATGCTATGTACTAAGAAATAAAATATGAATAAGAAGGAGTGGTCCCTGTCTTCAAGAAGCTCCAAGTCTAATGGGGGAGACAGATGTGTATATAGATAAATTCCAATACTGTGTAATGAATGCTATAATTAGGTGGGGTTATACAAGGTTTAATTAGAAGGTAAATGAAGAATTATTAAGTCTTCTGCTTGGATGAGTGGGAAAAAGCTTCACAGAGGAGGTACCCTTTCAGTGAAAACTTGAATGCTGAGTACATATTTATTAGGTGGAGAACCTGAGGAAGGAAGAAGGCATTCCAGGCAAAGGCAACTGCCTGTGCAGAGAAATAGACGCATGAGAAAGCATGTTGTATTCAGCAAATTATAAGTTTTTCAGAATATCTAGAACCTAGATTATGAGAAGGCAAATGGCAAGAAATTAGTCTAAGTAGGCAGGTAATGAAGGGCCTGTTTGTGTATAACAATGGTAATAGGGCAAAAATAGCAGTAGAGTCAGCTACTTGTTGAACAACAACAAAAAAAATAATAATAATGGAGAGAAAGTGGGAGGCAGAAAGAAAGTCAGATGATAAAGAGCCTGAATGTAGTGTGGAAAAGGCAGTGGCTGTCAAAAGCATGTACCATACATTATGTAATAATACCCTATTCCCAGAGTTGTTAGAGGGACAAATAAGATTATAGCTAGAAAAGAGCTTTATAAATTGAATAGTGCTGTTCATGTGGGAGAAATGATTATTACACTGCATCTTCGGAAAGGCATAGCGATCAAGAGCACAGGCTTTGGAGTCAGGCTGCTCGGCTTTGGACCTTGGTGTGCCATTTACTAGCCTTATGATCTTGGACAAGTTCTATAACCTTTCTGTGACTCACTTTTACTGATTCACAGAATGGGGATAATAATAGTACCTACATTATCGGATTGTTGTGAGGTTTAAATGAGTTAATATAAGTAGCATGCTTAGAAAAAGTGTATTTTTTGAAAACAGTCAATAAGTGTTAGATTAGTCTTTTCTAACTGATAATGCCCCTTTTGCCTCCATCATCATCTCATTTGAGCAGCTCAGTGAAACAGAGAAGGCAAGGAATATTATCTCCACCACATAGCTTACTTTCTTTCCGCTCCCCAGCACTGGTGGTTCCTGGGGCTCTTCATGGGCTGTCTGAGAGCTAGAGATTCTCAGGACAGCAGATGCCCAGATTTTATCCAGCCCACCATTCCCCAGTCTGACCATTGTCTCTTCTCCATCTCCAGGCTTCCGAAACTTGCATGTGGACGACCAGATGGCAGTCATTCAGTACTCATGGATGGGGCTCATGGTGTTTGCCATGGGCTGGCGGTCCTTCACCAATGTCAACTCCAGGATGCTCTACTTTGCCCCTGACCTGGTTTTCAATGAGTAAGTGCTCATAAGCCCAAAACTCACATAAACACAGCATCCTGGCTATGTCTGTTTGATGGTAATGATGGTAGTAACAGTGGTGGCTAGCCCATTTAACCTATATATGAGGCAGTAGAGGCCCCTTCTAGCTTGTACAATCTGAGGTGCCTTTGCTTGACAAGAAGGCAAATTGGTAGGAGACAAGGGAGGGGGGTGATACTGAGGCCATCCCTTTCCCACCCAAGACCCAACCTTGGTATTTTGGTCATGTTTCTGACATGCTTTTTAACCTATCTCAAAACCTCATATCAAGGTCCTTTCCATTCACTCTGACCAGCATAGGGAATGGGCATAGAGACTCTAGCTGTGAGGGCTAAAGTTCTTTTGGTCCCTTTTGCTCATCAAGGGCTACTGCCAGTCACCATTTGTTGAGCAACTCCTTTATGCCAGAACTATACTAGATACTTTCTAAATCCTTCTCATTGAATCCTCATGAAAACCAGATTTCCCCTTTGTAAAGATAATTTTTAATGAATGAGAAAAATTAGGCTCAACAAAATAAAGTGACTCACCCAAGTTAACAGAGCTAGTGCATGTTGGCAACAGATTTCAAAATATGTCTGTGTAACCCCAAGTTTTTATACTTCTTCATGGTGGTTAGTGATGGTGAAGAGCAGCTCCATCACTCTGGCCATGTGACTTTGGCCCTGTCACTTTTCTTCTCTTAAAAACAGGTTTAATTAATGCTTGCCCTGCCACCAGTTCTATTTATCATTTATAAATTTGTCCAAGGGTTCAGATTTTGAAATTACACTGGTATTGACTAAAATCTGTTCATCATTGTCTTTGAGCAGGACCTTTGAATTTCCTGTCCCTCAGTTTCCTCATCTGTTAACTAAATAGAACTTTTTCAAATGGTTTCTTATGATGACTCTAAAATGGGAGTTAATGGGTATGAAATGTCTGGCCCATAATCAGGGGTCCTCAAACTACAGCCCGCGGGCCACATGCGGCCCGCCGAAAACATTTATCCGGCCCGCTGGGTGTTTTTGCCGCCGCTGCCTGTCCTGCTTAGCAGCCAACTCATCCCGGGCCTGCAGTGCGCATGTGTGGAATGTCTAAGGGACAGTGAACTGGCCCCCTGTTTAAAAAGTTTGAGGACCTCTGCCCATAATGGACAATAAATAAATAAAAAGTACATTTCTGATACTTTCTCCAATAGTGATATTCTTTTCCACTTCTGTTTGGGGTCCCTTGATGGCATTGTGAATGTAGCTAGTCAGAAAAATATTCCCAAGGACTTTGAATTAGTCTCACCACAGAGAATCCCTTTGGTCAGGGCAAAAATTGACCTTCTTTTCTCTCCAGTCCTCTAACTGAGAAGAACCTTAAAATAAATTCTACAGGCCAGTAGTTCCTTCTAGTACAGCAATGTGGAGGAAAATAAGCACCCCCAGATGCCCTTTTGCAAGCCATCCAGCCCTGTTAGTCAGAAGCTAAGAATAACCATTGGGCTTTTGGCATGACCTGCTTTGTGGTTTCCAAATCTCTAAAGAGTTACCCAGGATACCATCTTCTGGGGCAGGCCTTAAAAATCCCCCTTTATGTTAATCTCTCAAACCCATCCTCCTACTGCTCTCCAGTGATTGAATCAACTCCTTATGCACCTGCAAGACCCTCACCATTCAGAGCCCTAAGACCTTCGCAAAGTGATAATTGCCTATTTTCTAAATCTTAAATTTCCTTCTCTGCCTCTGCATAAGTATGTGGTACCTCACCTCAGCTTTCTGGCCCATTCCCATGTATTTCATCAAAAGGTACCACAGCCCTAGCCAGTTTTTGCTCAGTGGATAGAGCATCAGCCTGACACTGAAAGATCCTGGGTTTGATTCTGGTCAAGAGCACGTACTTTGGTTGCAGGCTTAATCCCCAGCCCTGGTCTGGCCGCATGCAGGAAGCAACCAATGGATATGTCTCTCTCACATCAGTGTTTCTCTAGCTCTGTCTCTCCCCTTCCCCTCCATTCTCTCTAAACAAATCAATGGAAAAATATCTTTAGGTGAGGATTAACAATAACAATAAAGGTACCACAGGAAGGTGCCACACGTAAACGCCAGTACTAGCATTCTCCCACAACCACATCAAATTTACAACTAAAATACAGAACAACCATCATTTAGAAACACCTGAAATCTGACTGAATGGAAGTCCTATAACTAGAGAAGTAAAGAAGGAAGCACATTGAGACTAGTAGGAGGGGCAGAAGCGTAGAATGGGCTGGTACGACACCCACATGTGGCATGTTTTTAATCGGGAGGGATATCTTGGCTGAGTAGAACTCCCGTGAGGAGCAAGCAGTCCCAGCCACACACCAGGCCCCCAGCCCAGGATTCCAGAGCTTGGAAGAGAAGTCCCTGTAACTTTGGGCTGTAAAAACCAGTGGCGATTGTAGTTGAGTGACAGGGAGGCAGCCAGAGACCCAGACAGGTCCTCTTATAGTGCCAGTGCACAGATGTCTTCGGATTCACTTTCTCCGAGTTCCAGTGCTAAGGCAGCAGCTTGAAAGAATCTAGGGGGATACAGGGATGAACTAAATTGTCTGTCATCAGGGCAAGAACTGGGAAGCAGCTTTCTCACAGACGAAAGTGCTGGGAACTTCCCCCAACAGAGCTGACTGGCAGGCACCATATCTGAGTCTCCATCAATTGGTAGAGTGCTCTTGTGTAGTAGGTATCCTGTAGAGCCCAGTGGCTCAGCCTCCCTAGTCACCTCAGCTGGGCACTCTAGGTATGCCCACATTTTTTGCCCCACCCTGGTGACTCCCTGAGATCCTGCCCCACCCAAGCTGTTTGCAGTGTCTTTTCCATATGAATGGCATGTTCTGGCTCAGGCTTCAGACTTTCCTAAAACCTCTCAAACCAGCATCAGCTGGACTCAATGTGCTCTATACTTCTCGATAAGTGGCCAGGACTGACACTAGCAGCAACTTGACAAGGTTCACAGCTTGGCCTCTCCTGGATACATACTAGTCCAACACAAGTAGCAGCCATCTACAGATTGCTCTGTAGCTTGTGCTGGGTGGCCCCAGGCATGACATAGACAGTGGCTGACTTTACACCTCTCAGGAGGCCCCAGAGCCAGTGCACCTGGTGGAGTTTCAGACCATGCCATATTACAACTCTATCACATCCATGAGCAACACACTAAAGGGCTGGACTTGGTGAGCACCAAAGCCCCACTGAAGCAAGTCCTGCTACATAAGGGTGTCTTACACAGCAGCTCTTCCATGGTAGTCACAGCTGGTCCTCACAGCCAATTGGTATGGGGGTAAATTCCTCCCAGTGATGCCAACAGTATTCAAGGCTCAACTACAACAGGATAGTGCACATAAATGACACAGAGGCATACCTAGAGTGCCCAGATCAGGCGATTAGGAAGGCTGAGCAAATAGGTCCTACAGGACACCTACTACACAAGGCCACTCTACCAATTCCCAGAGATGTAGCAGCTCTACCTAATACATAGAAACAAACATAGGGAAGCAGCCAAAATGCAGAGACAAAGAAACATGTCAAAAATGAAAGAAAGAAGAAATCTCCAGATAAAGAACTAAATGAAATGGAAGGAAGCAAACTATTAGATACAGAGTTCAAAATAATAGTTATAAGGATGCTTAAAGAACTTAATGAGAACTTCAAGGATTTTAGTGAGAATATCAAGGAACTTACTGAGAATTTTAAGGAAATAAGTGAGAACATCAAAGACATAAAAAAAGGACCAGTCAAAAATGAAGGATACACTAACTGAAATGAAGAATACTTTACAGGCAATAGTAGAGTAGAGCATGCCGAGGATGAAATAAGTGATTTGGAATATGAGGAAGCAAAAAACACCCAATCAGAAGAGCAAAAAGTAAAAAGAATCCAAAATTATGAAGATAGTGTAAGGAGCCTCTAGGAAAACTTCAAGTGCATCAATATTCACATTATGGGGGTGCCTGAAGGAGAAGAGAGGGAGCAAGAAATTGAAAACCTATTTGAAGAAATAATGACAGATAACTTCCCCTACCTAGCGAAAGAAATAGATTTACAAGTCCAGGAAGCACAGAGAGTCCCAAACAAGAAGAACCAAAAGAGGCCCACACCAAGACACATCATAATTAAAATGCCAGAGGTTAAAGACAAGAGAGAATCTTAAAATCAGCAAGATAAAAGCAGTTAGTTGCCTACAAAGGAGCACCTATATGACTGCCAGCTGATTTCTCAACAGAAACTTTGAAGGCCAGAAGGGAGTGGCAAGAATTAGTCAAAGTGATGAAAATAAAAAACTGACAACCAAGATTACTCTACCCAGCAAAGCTATTATTTAGAATAGAAGGTCAGATAAAGAGTTTCACAGACAAGAAAAAGCTGAAGGAGTACATCAAAACCAAACCAGTATTACAAAAAATGTTAAATGTTGAAGGAGAAGGAGAAGAAGAAGAAGGAGAAGAAGAAGAAGGAGAAGAAGAAGAAGAAGAAGAAGAAGAAGAAGAAGAGGTCAAAATATGAGCAATAAAATAGCAATAAATACATATCTATCAATAATTGAATCTAAAATTCAAAATGAACAACAAGGAATCTAATGAACAAAATAACCTGATTAATAAAATAGAACCAGAGGCATGGAAACATGAAACAGACTAATGAATCTCAGTGCAAAGGGGTGAGAGGGGCAGGAAGAGATTAACCAAAGAACTTATATGCACATTTGCTTTACATAGGGACCTATGGTGAAGGCCTGGTGTAGGGCAGGATCTGGATCTGGGTGGAGGAGGGTAATGGGGGAGGATATGGGAAACATCTTCAATACTCTCAAGAATAAAGATCTAAAAAAATAAAAAATAAATGCTTTTACTGCCCCCCCCCAGAAAAAAAAGGTACCACAGGACTACCCACATGGTCTTAAATACATCAAGCCCCAGAGCTCCTGAAAAAATAGGTGCCCCCTGTCCCCTTCTTCTCATAGGAACCCACTATGCTAGAGCTCTTGGAATTCCTAAAAAACATCAAAACCAATGTTTCTCAACAGGGATGTTGTTGACGTTTTTGGAGGAATACTTTTTCATTGCACAGAAAGTTCCCACATATTGGAATATGTTTAACATTCCTGGTACCTGTCCACTATATACCAAATAAAACTCCAGTCACTGTGACAGTTTAGCACCCAATATGGAGACAGTAATCTCTAGTTGAAAAACACTAATTGCTGTTAGCCTCATTAAGGTACTAGTAATAGGGAGACTGAATCCCAAAGAGAGAGACAAGGAATCTGAGCCAACCCATTTGCTGATTTCTCTTATATCAAACCCTATCATGAGCCCTGCATTTTTCTTTGTTCCTGACCTTTTTGGGAAACACATATAAGGGTAATGAGCTTGAACTCTACCTGTATGACCTTTGGTAAATTACTTAACTTCCTTGAATCTCATTCTTCTCATCTGTTGAATGGTGAATAGTGTGATAATGGCACCTTCCTATATGTAATTTATTGAGCACTTAAGAATTGCCAGGCACCGTGCTCAGTGTTCTCCAATTTTCATTTCCCCTCTTTTACTCCCACCTACCTCTGCTCTCCTGAATTCCATTCTTGACCCCATGTTCCCTACCTTCTACTCTCTTTCCCTTTCTTTCCTTTTAACTATTTCCTTATTCTTTTTGCCCTTTCTCTCCCTTTTCTGTTCCTATCTTTTCTGAATTTCTTCTGTTGCCTTTCTCCCCATCTTTCCCTAATTTCTCTGTTCTTGGGGCTTGTAGCAGTGTTACAGCAGTCCTGCATGCCAGGAGCATGATATCAATGGTAGGTAAAAAGACTGCAGTGTTGTTATCAACAGAGTCCTGGAAGTACAATAAAGACCAGAACAGATCCAGGCCCCAGAGTCAGCAGATGTTATTAAAAAATTCTCTATATTGAAAGAGCTTGGAGCAACAGTGTTTTGGTCAATTGACTTGTGCTACTACCTAAATACTTCTTTCCAGTTGCGCTCCAGTCAGAATTGAATATTTCTACACCATCCACCTCCTCCCCCCTTTCTTTAGGCCAACCAAAATTTCTCTGAGATAGAGTGTTGAGCTTCCATCCACCTAGTGCCAGAGATACTCAGGTTGTGGACTATGCTAGTGGTTTGGGAACCAAAATATTAAACCACAACCTTCAGTCACAATCTGGGAGGTCTTTTTCCTTACCACTTAAGTGGGTGTCACATTCCTTTTACTTTTTCCACAAGATATATAATTTCTCTCTCTCTCTCTCTCTCTCTCTCTCTCACAATTTATGGAGTGCTGAAAACCAAGAATGCCTACCAGCTAGAGGATGCTGTATTTTCTCTGAGAGGCTTGCTATAGACCAGTGATAGCGAACCTATGACACGCGTGTCAGAGGTGACACGTGAACTCATTTTTTTGGTTGATTTTTCTTTGTTAAATGGCATTTAAATATATAAAATAAATATCAAAAATATAAATCTTTGTTTTACTATGGTTGCAAATATCAAAAAATTTCTATATGTGACACGGCACCAGAGTTAGGTTAGGGTTTTTCAAAATGCTGGCACGCCGAGCTAAAAAGGTTCGCCATCACTGCTATAGACAGTCATGGAAAAGAGAGTTTGCTTCCCATAAGAAGCTTGGGCACTTCCCTATATAATTTATAGGTGATAATGTGATGATCTGTTCACAAGTCACTATAATGAAAACAGCTCACACTGTTTATAACTCCCAAAATGTAGTAAGGAGCAGCCAATATATGAGGGTTAAGCTCTTCCTCAGCAGGGGACCTTTACATTGAACATTCAGAAACACTTCCTGGATGATTTGATAAACATTTGAACTCATTTTGAAGGGACAATGGATGAATCTCCTTCCTTAGGAGCATTTAAATAAATACTTAAATTTTTTGTATGGGAAATGGCATTCAAGACAAGAGGCAGGGAAATTGATAAGATGAACTACTACTATAGTCACTTAAGAATCTTGGTATCCTTACTTTAAGACTTGATTTCTAAGTCCTGTCTCCTATAAAATCTCCAAGTTGTGATACCTGGAAGGCATGTTCTGGCTCTGGATGTAGCTAGGTTATTGAAAATGTAGTCAGAGAGACCATGTGTCTGGCCCATTTTGGTTAGACTTGTCTGTCCCTGTCTCAGGAAACAGGAGGGACACAGGAACCTGGAAGTTCCATGTGTTTACCCATATCCTGACCAGGAGAGATGAGTAGTTATCAGGATTTTTTTTTTTTTAGTGGGGGAATATCAACCTTGTTTCTTGCCATTGAAGTACTAACAAGAGGAACACCAAGCTCTTCTTGGAGAACCTGGCGAGGGGAGATCAACGAGAGACATTCTCTTGGACTTGTTATAAACCTTCCTCATTTCTCCCCTTCTTCTGTGTGTCTCTTTCTCAGGTACCGCATGCATAAGTCCCGGATGTACAGCCAGTGTGTCCGAATGAGGCACCTCTCTCAAGAGTTTGGATGGCTCCAAATCACCCCCCAGGAATTCCTGTGCATGAAGGCACTGCTGCTCTTCAGCATTAGTAAGTGCCTGGAGGGCTAGGGAATGTCCTTGGGGGCCTAGGGGCTCAGAGAACAGTTGCTTTTTTCATTAAAGTGTTATCAGCTCTTGGACATTTCCCTTTCGTTTTCACCCTTCCCACTCCATTCTCCCTTAGCATCATTTTGCTTAACAAGGATAAATTTCATAGATAAAGACCAATGTCATTGCTAAAATTCATCCTCCATTAGATTTCCGCCTATCCTGATCCTCTCTTTGGGATAAAACCTTTTGGCTGATTGTAGCAGACCTCTGAAGTTTTCCATACCTTCTACCATAGAATCAGGCAAGGCCTACCTTATATTTCTTGCAGGGCAGAAGGGACTGCCTCCTAGAAAGAACTTCCTCCCCTGCCAACAAGAGAAGGTCTATGTAAATAACTCAGACAGAGTTTATTTGGCATCCAAAAATGTTTCTGTAATGTCTCTTCTAAGCAGAGTGCTCTTTTAGCTGATAAATGAGTCAAAATTTGGTATTCAAAGTTATGTGTTTTAATTGTCTAAATCAGAACTACTCTGTGGATAATGTAAAATCACAGGTCCTAAGAAATGTGATAAGAAGACTAGAAAAAGGAAAGGTTAAGCACATTGTATGTATTTGATGCTCTTCAAGTTGGGTCCAGCTAGCCTTTCCCCTAAGACCTTTCTGGCAAACTGAAGGCCCCAGACATACAGACTTCAGCTGCAGGAAATCAAGTAGATGGTTCCCTCCCTGTGGGGTGGGTGTCAAGTTTGTGGCCAGAAAACTTGGTGCTTTATCTAATGCTCCTTTGTGGGCATGCTTCCCCTCCCCATTCTGTCTTCATCCCACATCAGTTCCAGTGGATGGGCTGAAAAATCAAAAATTCTTTGATGAACTTCGAATGAACTACATCAAGGAACTTGATCGTATCATTGCATGCAAGAGAAAAAATCCCACATCCTGCTCAAGGCGCTTCTACCAGCTCACCAAGCTCCTGGACTCTGTGCAGCCTGTAAGCAAATGATGGAGGGTGCCTTGTCAGGGAGAGCTGCCTGATAGAGCCAAATGATAGTATGTTCTTCTAGGGTCTGGCACCACCTGTTGGGAGGTGCTTCCATACTCCTCTTACTTTGAGTGTGGTCCAGGAAGAAAATGCAATGGAGAAGAAATGAACACAGGTCACGATGTCCCAGCTGGATGTTGTGAAAGAGGTGGAGGAGTTGAGAACAGAGCAGTTGGGACTCAGGGAATGGGCTTAGACCAGATAAGTTCTCTGGGCAGACAAAACAGACCTGGATGTTTTCCCCCTCTTCTTTGAGTCACGAGTGTGAGTTTTTGTGCATACACCGTTTGTGTTTCTGAGTGTGTGTGTGTGTGTGTGTGTGTGTGTGTGTGAGAGAGAGAGAGAGACAGAGACAGAGAGACACAGAGAGAGAGAGACAGAGAGAGAGAGAGGAGCCCTGGGGAAGAGGAATACTTAGTCCTGAGTCAGAGAGTTTACAATGGTGTAAGAGATCTCTTGGGAACCCTCAGTGATTCTATGGAGGTCATTTAGAGTGCACGCGCGCACACAGACACACACACACACACACACACACACACACACACACAAACACACACACACACACAACCAAGAATAGGGAAGGAGAAAAAGCAAAGGTGGGAGTAAGAGCCTGATAGAAGTCAACTCTTTGTCAACCCTTATTTCTTATTTCCTCCCTCTCTTATTGTCCCCCCCTACAGATTGCACGAGAGCTGCACCAGTTCACTTTTGACCTGCTAATCAAGTCGCACATGGTGAGCGTGGACTTTCCAGAAATGATGGCAGAGATCATCTCTGTGCAAGTACCCAAGATCCTTTCTGGAAAAGTCAAGCCCATCTATTTCCACACTCAATGAAGCTTTGGAAGCCCCCATTTCCTCACCCCACCTCACTCCCCTTTTCAGATATCTTCTGCCTGTTATAACTCTGCACTATTTCTCTTCTGTGCCTTGGGGAATTTCCTCTATTGATGTGTAGTCTGTCAAGAAGATGTTCCTGAATCCTGTTTGCCAGACTTTTTTCTATTTTCCTTCTTTCTCCCCGCCCCCCACCTCCCCATCTGACCCTCCCATGGCACTTTCAGACTCTGCTCTCTGCAATGAATGTCTCTTATCTGTGTTTTGAATGGTGTTATATTTCTTTAAATCTGTGATGATCCTCATGTGGACCAGTGTCAAGTTGTGCTTGTTTATAGCAGTGTGCTGTGTGCCAGCCACACAAATGTTTACTCACTTAGTGCCACGGGAAGTTTACGGAGCTAAGAGTATCTGGGAAAACCAAAAGTCAAACAAACAAACAAACAAAAACCAAAAAAACTTTCTAGGATATTTTTTCCTTTCAAAAATATAAAAACAAACAAATCCCCAAAGACGCTAACAGTGACTAGAATAAGGTGAGCATTACAAGACCATGGGGAGTCATTGCTATTTTTCAAAACCCTCCCTCCCAGAGTTTCTGCATAAAGCTTTTTCCATTAGAGGGCAGGATGGCTCCAAAACTGAGTTGGGGGAGGGGAGAGACAGATTTAAGACAGGACAAAGAGGACAGCTAAATCACCAATATCTGCTCACAGTCTTGGTCCCTGAGGTCTAGACTGCTCAACTGCAGTGCAATTCATTGTACTGAAAGTGTTCTTCTTATTTAAAAACTTGTCTGCATGTGAATGCCTCCCCCACTCCAATCTCTTTCTCTCACCCTCTGCCTCCATGCTCAAATTGACTTTCAATAGCTTTTCTAAGAACTTTGAACAAATGTTCTCTTTAGCCAAAACTTGGACACTTCCACTAAAGAGTAAGACCAGCAAGAAAGAGAAGAGAGATCTGACTTTTTGGAAGGCCCCATTCAGATCCAGGTCTGCTTTCCCATTTATGGGCCAAGGAGGAACTTGGGGCTGGAGTTAGAGGAAAAGGAAGTGGTGATTTGGCTCTTCTCCATTTAGGACACTGAAGAATTGATCCCTCCTTGCCCCCACCTTTAAAAGACCTGAATGCTTTTAGCCTGATTCCATGCTGAAGGTTCCTCCACCCTCCTTCAGTGTTTTGTGGGCCTGAACTTCACCAAAAACAGTGGTGAAATTTTCCCACTTCTCTAGACATGTTCACAGACTCTTTGCTAAGAGCCCCCATCACAAAGAAGGCTAACAAGCAGCAGATTTAACATTTATTTCTAAATGCAGTAGACTCAAAGACTTCTTACCAAGTATCTCTCATCAACTACCAGATCTTCTCTTCATCCCTTAGACAAACTGGAAAGAAGGCATCAATAGATTGGACAAGCTTGGCGACTTGCCTTTGTCCCCCAGAGATGGTACCTTCCTACCAAGTGGAAAAAAGCCCATTTTCTCCTTCAGTGCAGCTAAAGGGGCAACCCATATTGGGGTTAAAGAGAAAATTCATTCAGTTACCAGGCTGGGAAGAATGGGGCACTAGAAGCAGAAACCCTGTAAATGCTCTCCTTGCCACTCAGCATATTCACCTGCAGAAGTCATGGGAAGAAGAGAGAAGAAAGCAAGAGGAGACTGACTACTAAATTAAGAGGCAAAGTTTAAAGCCAGATGGGTACCATCTGGTGAATTTACTCCTCCTCCTCCTCCTCTGCTGCAGATTATGTGCTCTGACTTTGACCATACTCAGCCAGACTCCCCACCTATGTTGCTGCCTGTCAGTCAGAGGGAAGCTGAAACATTGAGACGACAGGACCATGGCCTCTTTGCAAAGTTCTGGTTGGTGTGGCTCCAATGGGCTGCCACCCATGAACTCAGGGTGTGTTCCTGGGACACTGGTTTCATATAGACATTTGGCACACCTCTATTCTGTTGACTTTGTTCCCTAATCCCAAGTGAAGAGGGAATGCCCAACTACTTTCTCATCTTGGCCACTGCCTCCTCACTTAGCTCTTTAATTCATCTGCTAAACTCAAGGAATTAGAAGCCAGTCAACAAGATGCCCATTTCAGTTGGTTCACTTTACTTGTTGAGAAGATAGTTTCTGAGTGATCTGATATGACCTACATGGGTTTCCTCCCCTGATTTCTGTGTTGATATTAATAGCCAAAAGAACTTGCAAAAACAGTTTCTTTAAATAACAAGGGAGAGAGGAACCTAAGATGGGTGATATACCAATCCAAGACTGCTGGATAAAACTAATACGGGCAGGTTGTCTTTCTGGCGTAAGATAGACAAATTCTGTTTTTCTTTGTTATTACACCATTTGGCTTATATAAGCTCACAGGATCACTTTTTGCTATTTTATTATTTTTTAAATATATTTTATTGATTTTTTACAGAGAGGAAGGGAGAGAGATAGAGAGTCAGAAACATCAATGAGAGAGAAACATCGATCAGCTGCCTCCTGCACATCTCCTACTGGGGATGTGCCCGCAACC